AAAAACAACCTTTCTCCTTTAAGCTGCTTTGGCCAGGGTGTTTTGTTTTGTTTTGTTTTGTTTTTTTAAATCATAGCAGCAGCAAAGAAACTAAGACACCAAGCTGCCCCGTAAGACCCGCAATAAAACACTACCAGACTCCTGGGTTTCCACCCACGGGTGAATTCACTCGAACAACCTTCAGACTTCAGGTACTTCTCAGACTAGTTCTTCCGTGCCTCTCAGAGTAGCTTCGCATAAACAGCGCCCCCTTACGATTATAAAGGGTTAACTAGGAGGCGGGACTAGGGCGTTTTCCATCAATAGCAGCTCGTTCTAGCTCACTGACCGCTGACTGCCCATACGGCTTCCTCCACTTGCTGCACATTTTCAGTGATGTTATAGATGACGACGTCACACTCCAGCAGCCGCGTGAGGAGGTCTTCTCGGGAGATACCCTGAAAAGAAAAGCAACAGTCGCTTTGCGTCAACCGGTCGACAAGGGAACCTGGACATCTAGATGGACAGGCAGAATTAGATCTGCCCACCCCACCCCCACCCCAGGAGAGCCCCATAGAGAGCGTTTGCATAAGCATTTCTAGTAAAATGAAATCTCGGCTCTCTTTTGCATGTAATTCACAGGCAACAAAGAAATCATTGAAAACAGCCTGGAACGGGTGGTTTTAAAAACTGCAAAATGTGGGTAAAGCCGAGACGGCTCAGTGGGTAAAGCAGCTGCCTCGCAAGTGTGAGGACCTGAGTTCAGCCCTCAGAACTTACATCAAGTGCAGTGCTGGCTATGACGGCTCCCACTTGTAAAGCTGGGGAGGTGGAGGTGGGAGGATTCTTGGGGCTCCCTCACCACCCAGTCTAGCCTATGGGGTGAGCAACCGGCCAATGAGAGGCTGTCTCAGAGGAGGAAGATGCCAACGCTGTCTTCCAGTTTCCACAAGGCATGCGTGTGACTATACTCCAGCCCCTTTCAGGTCCTTTTGCATTCATTTACTCTAATTTGCTTGGGCGACTAGAACAAAGCGCAAGACTCCGAAATGCACCACTACTGTCTTAGGGTTACCACTGCTGTGATGAAACACCATGACTAAAGCCACTCGGGGAGGAAAGGGTTTCTTTCACTCACAGTTCCATATAACAGGTCATTATCAAAAGCAGGGAGGACAGGAACTCAAGGAGGGCAGGAACCTGGAGGCAGGAGCTGATGCAGAGGCCATGGAGGGGTGCTGCTTACTGGCTTGTTCTCCATGGCTTGCTCAGCCTGCTTTCTTACAGAACCCAGCACTACCAGCCTAGGGATGGTACCACCCACAATGGTCTGGGCCCTCCCCCATCAATCACTAATTAAGAAAATGCCCTACAGGTATGTGTACAGCATGATCTTATGGGGACATTTTCTTTTTCTTTTTTAAAAAATATTTATTTATTTATTTATTTATTTATTTATTTATTTATTTATATTTATTTATTTATTATGTATACAGTGTTCTGTCTGCATGTTTATCTGCAGGCCAGAAGAAGGCACCAGATCTCATTTCAGATGGTTGTGAGCCACCATGTGGTTGATGGGAATTGAACTCGGGACCTCTGGAAGAGCAGCCAGTGTCCTTAACCGCTGAGCCATCTCTCCAGCCACTGGGGACATTTTCTTAATTAAGGTTCCCTCCTCTCAGATGACTTTAGCTTGTGTCAAGTTGACAAAAACCATCTAGCACAAATACCATCTGGAGCAGTGGTTCTCAACCTGTGAGTCGAGACTCCTCTGGGGGTCAAATGGCCCTTTCACAGGGGTTGCCTACGATCATCAGAAAACACAGATACTTACATTATGATTCCTAACAGTAGCAAAATTGCAGTAATGAAGTAGCAACGAAAATCATTTTATGGTTGGGGGTCACTACAACATGAGGAACTGTATTAAAGGATCGCCACATCAGGAAGGCTGAGAACCACTGCTCTAGAGGCTCAATTCCAAGGCCAAGGTGTCCCAAGCAAGTTGGTTCCCGACAGGTGGAGGGGAGAATCCACTTTTCCCCTCCTTCAGCTCCCAGCGAGTGATGGCAATGGCCGCTAATGTGTAGCTTCGTAGACGGATGGCTCCCATCTCTGTCATGATGTTCTCACTGCATAATCCTACTGTGTGCTCTCTGCTTGCACAGTCAGCCCAGAAAAAGACCCTTTAAGAGGCCAATATCATAGGTTGAATTGTTGACTCTCCCAGAAAGGATATTGTCTTTGTCAGTGTTCTAGCACTGTGAAGAGATACCATGGCCAAGACAATTCATACAAGAAAGCATTTAATTGGAGGCTTGTTTACAGTTTCAGAGGACTGGAGTCCTTATCCATCAGGGTGGGGAGTATGGCAACAGGCAGGCACCCATGGTGCTGGAGCAATAGCTGAGAGCCTACATCTGATCCACAAGCAGGAGGCAGAGAGAAAGAGACTGGACCTGGTATAGGCTCCCCCACCCCCCAGAGCTGAGGACCGAACCCAGGGCCTTGCGCTTGCTAGGCAAGTGCTCTACCACTGAGCTAAATCCCCAGCCCTCTGGGATAGGCTTTGGAAGCCTCCAATCTCACTCCTAGCAATACACCTCCTCTAACAAGGCCACACCTATAGCTGGAGAGCTTCTCTCCAGGTCCCGCCAAGTCTCCGCAGTCCCACAGCCCACTTATAAAATAAACACACAGATGCTTATATTATTTAAACTGTTTGGCCTAATGGCTCAGGCTATTAGCTAGATGGATTTTGTTTTGTTTTGTTTTTTGTTTTTCGAGACAGGGTTTCTCTGTGTAGTTTTGCGCCTTTCCTGGAACTCACTCTGTAGTCCTGGCTAGCCTTGAACTCACAGAGATCCTCCTGGCTCTGCCTCCTGAGTGCTGGGAGATAGCTGTCTTTATATCTTTTTTTTTTTTTCTGGAGCTGAGGACAGAACCCAGGGCCTTGTGCTTGCTAGGCAAGCACTCCACCACTGAGCTAAATCCCCAACCCCTGTTTTTATATCTTAAATTAACCCATATCTATTATTCTATAAATTGCCACATGGCTCGTGGCTTACCGGTACCTTACATCTCACTTGTCATGGCGGTGGCTGGCAGCGTCTCTCTGCCTCAGCCTTTTATTTTCCAGACCTCTCCTCTCTCTTTGTCCTGCCTATACTTTCTGTCTGGCTGCTGGCCAATCAGTATTATTTATTTATCAATCAATCATCCACAGCACACACCTCCTAATCCTTCCCAAACACTTCCACCAACTGGGAACCACCCATTCAAATATATGACCTATGGGGGCCATTCTTATTCAAACCACCACAGATGTATTGACATCCTATTTTCTAGTACTTCAGTCTGCCACGTTATCTGAAGACAGGGTCTCTGTTACGGTTTTGAAATTTGGGATGGCTCCATAGGCTCACATATCTGAACACTGGCCCTCATTTGTACTGAATGGCCCTGAACTTGTGATTCTTCTGTCTTTACCTCCCAAGTGCTGGAGTACAAGTACGAGCCAGGACGGACAGCTGCAGCAACACAGGGCCCAATAATGCTTTTCTCACACGTTGTCATTAACATCGGTAATGAGTTACATCTTAAGGTAAGAGCAGGTGATGAGGTGCACAGAGCTCTATGGTGAGTTTAGAGAGCAGAGGGCCAGGTGGATGGAGAGGTTAGCCTGGGAGAGAGGGCACCTCTTCTAGAGGTGCAGAAATGTCTCCCAGGGAGCACAGGGTCTAATTTGTCAGGTGAAGGTGGCACAGATGCTCAATAGGCAGATAGAAGGCATGTGCGTCCCCAGGAACTCATTACCCCACACTATTCCTCTTTCCTGTAAAGTACATTCATGTGGTCTTATCACTGATGGATGCTCCATAGAGAGAAGGTTTTTATGAGTTTGGAAGTCAGGACTAGACACATCTCTTCCAAGAATATCTCATTTAAATTCTTTGCTATGGCCCCAGATTTAAAGTGGAGCCTTTAAATTGTGGTATTTCCTGTCACAGAAGGAAGACGTGTCCTGGGCTAGGGAGATGGCTCAGTAATTGCTGCACAATCATGAGGACCTTAGTTCGGATCCCTGGCACCCATGTTAACCTGAATGCAGTAGAGAGACACATGCAGAAGTCTGAAGAGACGGGAGGCAGAGATAGAAGGATCTGAACGCCCATGGGCCAGCTAGCCTGGTGTAGGCAGCAACATCCAACCAAGTGACCCTGTCTCAAAATGCAAGACAAACATTCACTCCTCCGATTTCTGCGTGTGCACTGTGCCATGCACACGCCTGCAGTCACGAACACAGGTGAAACAAAGATTTTAAAAAACTGAAAAGGTATTTCCCGTGTCCTGTCTTCGTAAGCCTGCCTGCAGAACAGAAGGGCTGAGATGGCAGAGGGGGGCGGCACCAACGGGATTCTGCCCTCATCAGGTCCCACAGAGAGCCCCGGGGGCTTACTGAGTATGTCTCCACTGCGAAGTCCGGCCTGACGCTTTCTGGCTTGGCCAAGGTGCCTACGATCTGGAACGTGCCCTCCTTCACCTTTGCAGTGGACGCTTCCGGGGCTGCCGACTTTGTTTCATCTTCCTCCTCCTCCTCTTCTGCAATCTCTTCCAGGGAGGCCCCAGCCACACAGTTGGCTAGGAACTGCAAGAGAACAGAAATGTCCTGGGTGCTGAGCGGAGTTCTGAGCAAGGAAAGCCAGTGAGTGATGATTCTAGACTCTTGCCTTTACTGGGTACCCCACAGACTGGGCAAAAGCCCTGTACCTCATGGTCACAACAAGGCTGATATGATGATGCTCACAACACAGGGAAGTGGCCACGTACGAGAGGACACTGAATAGACGGTGACACAGTTGCAGAGAGCTTCAGCGACGGCTTGCTTTAGCTCGAGGTGGAGCTGGGCTCTGGTGAAAATGTTTGTCCCGTTCAATGGGAACACAGATCTGCAAGGTGAGCCCCTGAGGTCATTTAAAATCAGTTTGCCAGTGGGGTGTGGTGGCACAGGCCTTTAATCCCAGCACTCTGGAGGCAGGTGGATCCCTGAGTTTACAAAGCCAGTTCTGGTCTACCAAGCCAGTTCCAGGAAAGCAAGGGCTATGCAGAAAAACCCTGTCTCAAAAACCAAACAAACAAAAATCAGTTTGCCTATCTTTTACCCGTTTCTCTCCCTCCCTCCCTCCCTCCCTCCCTCCCTCCCTCCCTATTCTCCACCTCTCTTTGTCTTTTCTTTTTTTTTTATTTATTTATTATGTATACAGTGTTCTGTCTGCATGTATGTCTGCAGGCCAGAAGAGGGCGCCAGATCTCATTACAGATGGTTGTGAGCCACCATGTGGTTGCTGGGAATTGAACTCAGGACCTCTGGAAGAGCAGCCAGCGCTCTTAACCTCAGAGCCATCTCTCCAGCCCCTGTCTTTCTCTCTTTGAAGCAGAATTTCATGCATTTTAGGATGGCCTCAAACTTGCTATGTAGCCAAAAATGACCTCAACCTCTAAGCTCCTGCCTCCACCTCCTGAATGCAGTCACAGTCACAGACCACCATGCTTGCTTTGTGCCTGCAAGGCAAGCCCTGCTGGCTCAGCTACATCCCTAGCCTAAAACTATCCAATGGTTACGTCTAAAAAACAAACAAGCAAACAAAAACAGGTGAAATTCAATTTAAAACACTATTTTAGTACTGAGGACCAAAAGCAGGTCCTTGCACATGCTGACCGAGATCACTACCACATCCTTTAGCCCTAAATGTTTTACTTAATCTAATAAACCCAAAGCACTGCTTATCAGTTTAATATACAATCAATATAAATTATTACGGTTGTGGGGTATCTTATTTATTTGTTTTTGGTTTTTCGAGACAAGTTTTCCCTGTGAAGCTCTGGCTGTCCCGGAACTCACTCTGTAGACCAGGCTGGCCTTGAACTCAGAGACCCACCTGCCTCTGCCTCACCAGTACTGGGATTAAAGGCGTGCATCACCACTGCCTGGCTTGTGATGTATTTTAAACACAGGGCTTCATAGATGCTAGGCAAATGCTCCACCACGGAGATGTTTTCTGTTGTGGGGTATTCACCAGAGAAGACTGCTCAAACATGGGTTTGAACCAATCGAAGTCTTTATTAGCCAGCTGTCAACAACACGGGGTGCTCAGGATCCCAGTGTAGCACTGAGCCTTTTTCAGGGGGAGCTTTTAAGCACAAAAACCATGTTCTGGGTTGACATTCTTCAGTTAACAACAGTTAGCCAGAAGCCCAACTACAAAAGCTAAACAGCAAGGTTAGTACATTTTGAGATGCTCCCAGAACTATATGGATTTTAGTGGATTAGGCCTTTGTTTTACTTTTGGTAGGTGGTGCTGTCTATGTGCTGAGTTTTACAGCCTGAATGGTTCTTCGATCATGGAGTCAGCTGTGCTAAGGTCTCAGGGCCTACTAAGGCCTGGTGCCCTGTTACATTCTCAGCCTCTATAAAAATTGATGAGATATTTTACTCCCCACTTTTTTCATTGACAATGTCTCACTATGTAGCCCAGACTAGCCTCAGCTTCTGAATGCTGGAGTTGCAGAGGTGTCTTCTCTTTGTCAAATGCTGGTCTTTGGGATTCAATATGCATTTAAGCTTACAGCTCTTCTCCTTGGGGACTACCCATGCTGAGGTGACCACATGGGGCCAGTGGCCACTCTTACTGAACAATAAAGTAGAATAATGATGTTGGCTAAGATTTATCTGTTTATTTTTAAAGATGCAATCTGTAATGTAAAACCTCTATCTCATTCCAGTGTCAATTAAAAACAAACAAACCACTAACCACTATGAAAACAGGCCAGCTAAGATCGTAAGAGAGCCAAAGAAAAAAGAGAATAAAAGAAAAACACTTCCTAAAACACACATTCAATTTTGAAGAGAACTGCTTTCCTGGCATCCTCACAGCCGTCTCTACTGTGCACTTACACACAACACATTGCTTGCTCTGGTGAGAGCTTCCCAGCATTAGCTGTCCACTTACATGCTCTTCTGTCTATGCCAGTGCTATACTTGTGTGGCCATTCAGGGAGGCCACGACCCCTCCATAATCCATACCAGAATTGAATTTCACAACGGGTCATCTGATGATGTGTCTTAAGGATTCACTAGGGTTTTTATTTCCACAGACTCTCTTTTTAACAATCTTGGGAGGCAGGAAACCTGAGTTCTAATAGCACGTGCCAAGATTTACTTATTTTATTTTTGTGCATATGAGTGTTTGCCTGTGTGCAAGTATGTGCACCATGTGCATGCAGTGCCCACAGAGGCCAGAAGAGCGTGTTCGATCATCTTGGACTGGAGTTACAGATAGAGGTGATCTGCTGGAAACTAAATGAAATGAGTGCTGGAAATCGAACCTAGGCCATCCAGAAAAGCAGCCTGTGCTCTTATCCCTGAGTTATCTCTCCAGCCTCTAAAACATGACTTTTTTTTTCTTTTTTCGAGACAGAGTTTCTCTGTGTAGCTTTGCGCCTTTTCTGAAACTCGCTTTGTAGACCAGGCTGGCCTCGAACTCACAGAGATCCTCCTTGTTCTGCCTCTTGAGTGCTGGGATTAAAGGCATGCACCACCACTGCCCAGTGACTCTTGTGACAAATGAACAATTTAAGAAGACAGCTCTTAGCTTCTCTCTCTCTCTCTCTCTCTCTCTCTCTCTAGGCTAGAGGTAGAAAGGTGTCTTTCTCTTTATATCTCCACTTAATTTTCGAGACCCTTGTTATCTCAGCTAGAATGGCTGACCAGCAAGCTCCCAGGATCTCCCTGACTGCTTCCCAGTGTTACTACTTGCTCAGCTTTTACATGGATGATGGAGGTCAGACTTCAAGGCTCCATGCTTGAGCCTCGAGTACCATCTCCCACTGGGCTGTCTCCCCAGCCCTCCTGGGGGCGGGGAGGAAGCTTAATGGGACCTGGTCAAAAACTGTGCCTAGCACAAAATAGATGGTTTAAAAAAAAGGGGGTAGATGAATGCTTCACGGGTGATGTAATGGCTAGACTTACAATTTGTCTTCACGTCCTGCCCTTTCTTTCTTTCTTTCTTTCTCTCTCTCTCTCTCTCTCTCTCTCTCTCTCTCTCTTTCTTTTTTTTTTTTTTAAGATTTATATATTTATTATGTATAGTGTTCAGTCTGCATGTATCCCTGCAGGCCAGAAGAGGGAGCTAGATCTCATTGCAGATGGTTGTGAGCCACCATGTGGGTGCTGGGGATTGAACTCAGGACCTTTGGAAGAACAGCCAGTGTTCTTAACCTCTGAGCCATCTCTCCAGCCCCCCCATTATTTCTTATATGATCTTTGCAAACCCTTTTCTCTCTTGAGCTTCGGTTTCCCCACATTAAAAAAGTAGGAACCTAAGTCTGACTTGCAGTCTCCAAACACCTGGGTTTCCAGGAAGGAGCATGGGTCAAGCCCGGTTAGGGGCAGGTCCTGGACACAGTGACGTGCCAAGATTGGGAACCCCCCCCCCCCTCCCAGGCTCCTAACAGCCTGTAGTGCAGACCTTTGCTGTGGGGATGGACCAAGGACGCACATTGACCACTGAGTCTGACTCCGGCCGCCGCTCACCTTTCCTATGTTTCCGCTGCTGTAGGTGTCCAGCTGGTTTATGAACACCCTCAGGATCTTTAGAACTCTCTCAGCCACCACAGGGACCTCCTCTTCAGCCATGGTGGCAGCTGGAGTAGTTGCTAAGATGAAAGCGTCCTGTCGGTTGCTAAGGAGGAGAGGCGGGCAGCGGGAAGGCTAGGCGGTCAGGCTCCCTGGGGGCGTGGCTCAGGCTCTGGATGGTACGTGGTTCGCTTTTGGGCGGGGCGTGTCCGTTGGGGGCGTGGCTCAAAGTCTGGACGGGGCGTGTCTGAAAGGGCGGGGCTGCGGTCCCTGGAGAGCGCTTTTCCCAGGTTCACGCACCGGGCGCTGCTGTGTTTATGCGGTTGCACATTTCCTGTAGGACGAGGTCACAACTTCTCTACTGTAAAAAAAAAGCATTTGTCTCGGGTTTCGGCGTTAAGGACACGTGGAACCACAGCGTGAGAGCCCACCACCACACACTGTGCAGCCAGTTGCCCATGCGCTGGGTTCAACTGTCCTAATTTGCTTTCTTTCTTTCTCTTCTTTTTTTCTTTCTTTCTTTCTTTCTTTTTTTTTTTTTTGGTGCCTGTCTTGGATCTCGCTCTGTAGCCCAGGCTGGCCTTGAACTCACAGAGATCCTCCTGGCTCTGCCTCCTAAGTGCTGGGATTCTAATTTGCTTTCTGTTGCTGTGATTACACCAGATAACATCAAAAGCCATAACTCAGGATCAGGGACCTGGGGGTGGCACTGCCCACAGTGATCTGGGTCCTCCCCTATCAATGAAGAAAATGCCCCCCCCAGACTTGCCTGCAGGCTATTTTTATGGAGGCATCTTCTCAACCGAGGTTCCTTCTTCTCAGATTGTGTTTCCTAAAGTATTTTCAGATTTTTTTTTCCTGAGGATTTGGTGGAGGTGCCACTACTTTGTGCCCAGGAATTCACACACAATCACAAGATTTAAAATAAGGAAGTTTAGGCTCTAGGCCTTCTTTCCAAATGAGATTACTCCGGCAGTTGCTGAAATAAACCAAAAACAAACGAACAAAACCATTGTGGCAGGTGAGATTGCTCAGAGGTTATAGAGCCTACCATCAAATGTGAGTTCCATCCCTCTGTCCAATGAGAATGGGCTCCAGCAAGCTGTCCCCTGTCCTCCCCACAAATAGGTTAATGTAATAAACAATAATGTGTTTCCTTACTGATTTTCAAAGGTTGTGGTGGGCTATGACCATAAGCTGCCTGTTATGTTAGTCTGAGTGTATTGAAATAGCTTTAAATATTAACTTGTTATATATAAATATGAATGCATATATAGAAATTTAAACAATATTTGATTTTATGAGTGTTTGCCTGCATGAATGTGTCTGCACCACATGCATGTGTGCCTGGTGCTATGAGAGGCCAGAAAAGAACTTTAGATCCCTTGGAACTGGAGTAACAGATGGTTGTGAGCCACAGTGTGGGTGTTAGGAATCACACTCAGGTCCTCTGCAAGAGCAGCCACGCTCTTGACCAATAAGCCATATCTCCAGCTCCCGAGCCTATTGATTTTATTATCACAATTATTGTATCATTCCTTCAGTCTTTTCCTTTTATTATGTGCTGGAAAGTGCCGGAAGACTTGGGGTTCTGCCCCAATGCCATCGGTCATGGGTGGGTGGCTAAGCAAGTTCCTCATCTGTGCAAGCCTCAGCAACGCCACACCTAAATAAGGAAGCTTGAAGGGAAAGTTCTGAAGTTAGTGTGGCCCATTTCCAAATGCCTGTGTTTTCTCTTCTGTTCCCCTAATGTGAATGAAGCAACAGGTTTTGCTCCTGAAGACTGGAGGGAGCACGATGCCCTAGCCTACCCACTGACGGTGGGCACAGTGCCAGCAGCTGACTTGCCGAGTGTGTGGGAAGCACAGGGCCAGAGGCAGGTGGGTGTGTCCTTATGGGAGATGAGGTCTGTGCTCTCTTCATGCACACACTAGGAGCAGACAGATCAGTGCAACCTTTGCAGCTACTGGACACCCCACATCCATTACTCATCCCTTTTCTGTATGCTAAGTTTCAATGCAGGGATCTCGTGCTTGCTAAGTATGAGCTCCACCTGAGCTCCAACTCCAGGCCTGAATCCCCCACTTGCATCGAAGGAAATACTGAATATGTGAGAGTATAGCATGAGGATTGCCTATCTTACTACCTAGTGATTAATATTTTAATGTTTATTTTGTGCATATATATCTAATATAGTAGTACATTTTATAGCCTGTGATTTTATGTAGCATGATCCTGCCCCTCCCCCCAATGTCATTCTTCAGTTTTTTTTTTTTTCGAGACAGGGTTTCTCTGTGTAGCTTTGTGCCTTTCCTGGAACTCACTTGGTAGCCCAGGCTGGCCTCCAACTCACAGAAATCCGCCTGGGTCTGCCTCCCAAGTGCTGGGATTAAAGGCGAGCGCCACCATCGCCCGGCCTCTTCCTCAGTTTTAAATATTGCATATTTTTCCCATCAAAAGGACACAGCATAATTTAGCACTCTTTGAGCTTGGCCAACTTTTCATTAGAGGGAAATCAGTCTTTGCAGCTTATCCTTTGTTGACTCATTTCCCCTATGTCCTGTTTTAAAAATTACATTTACTTATTGTATGTGGGTGTGAACATGCCACAGCACATTGTGTGGAATTGTCAGAGGACAACTTGGTGGAGTTGGTTCTCTCCTTCCATAAATGTGGGGCCCACGGATTGAACTTAGGTTGTCGGACTTGGTGGTAAGTGACTTTACCCCCAGAACCATCTTGCCATTTTTTTTTGTTTTTTGTTTTTGTCCCCCCCCTCCCCAATACAGGGTTTCCCTGTGTAGCTTTGCGTCTTTCCTGGAACTCACTCTAGACCAGGCTGGCCTCGAACTCACAGAGATCTGCCTGTCTCTGCCTCTCGAGTGCTGGGATTAAAGGCGTGCGTCACCATTGCCGGGCCCATTTTTTAAAAAAAATTTACTTTATGTGCATTGGTGTGAAGATGTTGATCCTCTGGAACTGGAGTTACAGACAGTTGTGAGCTGCCATGTGGGTGCTGGGAATTGAAACCTGGGTCCTCTGAAAGAGCAGCCAGTGCTCTTAACCACTAAGCATCCCTCCAGCCCCAACCAGCCAGACTTTATACTTCTTATTTTGTGAAAAGCATCTCCCAAATTTCCCCGAGTTGCCCTTGAATTTGTAATCCCCTTGGGAGTTGGACTGTAGGCTGGGCCACCTCACCTAACTCCAGAAGCTGTCAGCTTTGCAGTTGTATTTTATTTTCAGAACGATTTCATCGGTACACTCTCTGGTCAAAGTGCTCGTCACTAAATCCTGGTTAAGAGAACTACAAAATTAGCCAGGGGGTGGTGGTGCACACCTTTAATCCCAGCACTCAGGAGGCAGAGGCAGGTGGATCTCTGTGAGTTCGAGGCCAGCCTGGGCTACAGAATGAGTTCCAGGACAGTCAGGGCTGCACAGAGAAGCCCCATCTTGAAAAACTAAAAACAAACAAACAAAACACACACACACACAAAAAGAACTACAAAATTACTTGGTGAGGTGGCATTATTACTCTTTTTGTCTGGGTGGTGGTGGCTCATGCCTTTAATCCCAGCACTTGGGAGGCAGAGGCAGGCAGATCTTTCAGTTCAAGGCCAGCCTGGTCTAGAGAGAGTTCCATGACAGCTGGGGCTAGAGAATCCCGCTTTGAAAAAACCAAATCAAACCGAACCAAACCAAACTAATATTCTTTAAATTTTTTTTTTGTGGGGTTGGGGATTTAGTTCAGTGGTAGAGCACTTGCCTAGCAAGCGCAAGGCCCTGGGTTCAGTCCTCAGCTCTGAAAAAAACACATGTGGAGGTCAGCTTGTGGGGGTATGGTCTTCTTCCACCACGTGAGTCACAGAGGGCCAACCCCGATTGTCAGGTTTGGAGGTAATACCTTTAGTTCATGAGCCTTCTTACCTGCCGTGGCCCAGCTATTTTAAAATTTCCTTTCTCATGTTATCAGCTGAGTCAAACTTTAGTTTTTACTTCTGTCCCTTCCCCTCATTTGGAATCCCTCCCCCCCTTTTTGAGACAGGGTTTCTCTGTGTAGTTTTGGTGCCTGTCCTGGATCTCACCCTGTAGACTAGGCTGGCCTCGAACTCAGACACCTGCCTGGCTCTGCCTCCCGAGTGCTATGATTAAAGGCTTGTTTCACCACTGCCCGGCTGGAACCCCTTTTAAGTATCACTGAACATCTTTTTTTTTTCCCCTTCCAGTTGTCCAAAATCATTTGTGCATTGTTGATTTTAGGTGTCTCCTGTAGCCTAGCCTGACCTCCACTTCCCTACGTAGCTGAGGACGATGACCTTGGACTCTAAGCTCTCCTGACTTCAACTCCCAAGTGCTTGGATGATATGTGCCACCATGCCCAGACCAGGCTGGCCTTGGACTCACAGAGACCCACCTGCCTCTGCCTCCCTGCTGGGATTAAAGGCGTGCCACCATTGACTAGCCGAATTTTTTCTTTCGTGGTAAAATCGAGGCTTAATTTTAAAACTGACTTAGTTTACTTCCGCTGTATGTCCGTGAGGCCTGTCCGCAGCAGCCGACATGTGCTACGTCGCCTCTTATTTGCTTGCCACCTTTGGGGGCAACTCCTCTCCCAGCGCCAAAGACATTAAGAAGATACTAGACAGTGTGGGCATCGAGGCGGACGATGACCGGCTCAACAAGGTCATCAGTGAGTTGAATGGAAAACACATTGAGGATGTCATCGTCCAGGGCGTTGGCAAACTTGCCAGTGTGCCTGCTGGTGGGGCTGTGGCTATTTCTGCTGCCCCTGGCTCTGCAGCTCCTGCTGCTGGTTCTGCCCCTGCTGCAGCAGAGGAGAAGACAAGAAAGAGGAGTCCGAGGAGTCAGATGATGACATGGGATTTGGTTGTTTGATTAAATTCCTGCTCCCCTGCAAATAAAGACTTTTTATGTAAAACAAACAAACAAACAAAAAACCGGCTTAGTTTAGGACGGCGGTCTGCCGGTGCTTGCATTAGTGTGTAATTTCACTGACTTCCTTTATTCTGAATAAAGGAAAGAGCGACGCCCTTCATTCACTTCAACTCAAAGTATAACATGGATGAACTAAAAAGATGTGGGCACAGGTCTTGGAATCAGTCATTTATCAAAAAAATGAACAATTTCAAATTTTTTTTTTTTTTTTTTTGGTTTTTCGAGACAGGGTTTCTCTGTGTAGCTTTGCGCCTTTCCTGGAACTCACTTGGTAGCCCAGGCTGGCCTCGAACTCACAGAGATCCGCCTGGCTCTGCCTCCCTAGTGCTGGGATTAAAGGCGTGCGCCACCACCGCCCGGC